GGGGGGGGGGACTTAGATTGGTAGCAAAATGTTAATTAGCTTTTGTAGGCCCAGCTTTTAATTTGCTGTGACGTTGCGTGATTGAGAAAAGTCATTGGGAGGGTATAAATAATAGTTAGCATCATAGAAAGGGCATTTTTTTTTTTATTCAATAGAATCTGATAGTGGGTGAGAGGATAACTCTGCTTCTTCCTCGTTTGCGTCCCTTGTTCATAAATGATAGTTATATTATCTTGGCATCTTAGTAGGTTTTCAATTAAGCAGAATGTCAATCAAGTTTTGCTAGTTGTAGGTTTTTGGCGCCCAGAAGTTCTGTGGGTTCTGTGTGGGTGCGACCACATTTTGGATTCTTTGGTTGGAGCATGTTACTTATTTCATGGCTTTGTGGACCCTCAAGCTCAAGTTCTTTGTAATTATTTTGTTCAGTTTTGTTGCAATTGGAAAGCTTTTTGTAATCTCATTGCTTGGTGTACATCTTTCTCTTGTACTTTTCAACATCTTTGCAGAAAGCTCCTTTTTTCTTGGTAATCTAGACAGGCAAATATAATTCCTTCGTTCCAATTTATATATATATGAAGCAACGAGTGAACATATTAACGTAGGAGACCAAATGCATATAAGAAATGTTCAATTAGAAAATATGAATTACATTTTACATCCTATTGAATCCATCACTAGTTGAATGGATGCTTATATGAAGTAAATGGAATCTACGTATATATTTATACCTGTATAAAGCACCGAGTGAACTACCTAACAAGGAGATCCAATGTACATAAGAAATATTCAATTAGATAATATGAATTACATTTTACATCCCATCATTCATCCATCACTAGTTGAATGGATGCTTTTATGAAGTAAATGGAATCCTTATTTTCAAAGTTTGTGCTCTTGCTTACCGTTGCTAAGCAAAAAAATTGCTCCTTTTACAGATTACTAACTGAGACAGTTAGACAATCGCAAGATGCCTGGGGTGGTTTAAGAGACTGGACAGAAGTTGAGGTGATCTACAATTACCATATTTGTTTTTATTGACTTTTATGTTTTACTGGCAGTCATTTGCATTCCATACATGTATTGGTACATATAATCCATGGCAAATATACATTTTCCAATACTTTTAGTACCTTGCATCTACATTTATGAAATGAACCCTAATTGGGAATTTCTTGATGTTCGTCAAAGCATGTGATTTAATCTCTGGCCTCAAAATAAACATTAGAAAATCTACCATGGTGGCATCAATCTCAATTTGGATAAAGAAGAAGATTTGAATCATCACGAGGTTGTCCCTTAACAAGCTTAAGTTTTACCTATCTGGGCCTTCCCCTTGGAGGATGTCCAAGAAATATAAGCTTTCAAGATCCTGTTGTGCAAAAAATTACCTTCGATACTTGGCAAATGGAATAGGTGTTGCTCAAAGGCTTAATCTTATACGAATGGTCTTTCTGAACATCCCCACCTATTACCATCTTGTTTTTGCAACTCCTCAAAAAACTTGTGCAATGATTTGCAGAATCGTCTGTAACTTTTTTTGGGAGGCCCTAACGGAAAAAGGGGCTTGCATCTTGGCAACTAGAAGATTGTAACTTCCCCAACCTTACATGGCGGCTTGGTTTAGTATTAACCAGGATAGAAATGGAGTCTCCTCTCTAAATGGATTTAGAAATTCCATGGAGCTCCCAACCAGACCTTGGAAAATGAGATGCTAAATGTCACCTTTGCTGGGGTTCCATCGTCCTTTGTCTTGTAGGACCTTCTTTCGGTGTTTGGTTAATCCCTCTCGCTTGAGTGGTTCTATCTTTACCTTATTGTGAAAGGTGGAAATTTTTTTGAAGGTTAAGTTCTTCATATGGTAGGTCATTCACAATAGAGTTAACACCTTTTATTGAATTTCATGGAAATTGCCTAGCTTGATAGGCTGCTGTGTTTTCTCTATAAAAAGGTAGGAAGGATCTAAAATCATATTCTTTGATGCTATGATTTTGCACAATAGTCGGGAGTTGCCTTTTCAAGGTGTTTGCCCTAGTCTTTGCCATGCCTAGAGGATCTAGAGAGATCATTGAAGCATTCCTTCTTCACCCATCCTTTTGTGAGAAGGAGAGGTTCTATGGGAGTTGAAGTGTGTATAGTTTTGTGAGATCTTTGACATGAGGCGAATGGTAGAACCTTTAGATAGCATGAAGGACCTCGAGTTATGTTTCGTCCTTCATAAGGTTCCATGCTTCTCTGTAGGCATCAGTAGTAAAGTCTTTTATAATTATCCTTTAGGTCTTATCTTACTTCATTCAAGCCCCCCCTTTTTTTTGGGGGGGGGGGGGGGGTTTT